GCTTCACGACATTTGGAACGTCAACGTTTTATAAGTTACTTTAGCTTAAAGACTGCCACCTTGTTGCTTATATGCCAATGTATAGCATTTGGACACACTCTAGCCCTAAAAGCTTCCTCAAGTAAAGGGTATACACACACCAACTGCAATAATTTGGCTGTGCTATGTGGTTGTGTCCATTTATCCCCACCTTTATTTCCAAGGCACTCACAATTGTTTTAACTGAGAAGATGCACTATCACAGTAAGGTTAAGCTGAAATTCAAACTTATAACTTTTTGAAATTGATGTAGTGAATTGGGCATTAGTTTGCTGTCATAACGTATCCATTGATACTGTTCGATTCTCAACAGTAAGCACTATAGTGATTGCTAGCTCTGATCCTCAAGTCACTCATGAGATCAGACTAATCCAAGCCTTGCGTACTTTCTCTGTCGTAGTCCCTGGAGTGATGTAGTATCGGTCATGACTTACGGCCTCCCACCCTCCTCTCCTGACCCACCGCGCTTGCTTAAAGCGACGACTCACAGTCTCCATCTCACCTGGGAACTTCAGCCTACCAGTCACGGATCCACTCTATCCACTTCCAAACCAATTCTACGCTACCAGCTAGAAATGCAGGAGGGTGAAGCGCGTCAACACTTCAAGAAGATATTTGACGATGATGCTACGCAGTATTTGGTGGAGGGTTTGCGGCGCTGCTGCCTCTATCGCTTTCGACTGGCTGCTAGCAACGTGGATGGTATTAGTCACTGGAGCGATATCGTGGCCTTCCGTACCGCCCCTGATCTACCCACTGCTCCCAAAGGTCTACGTGTGAGTTTTCCCTATTCTTTACTGAATGAGGACTGATCCTCTGAATCAGATCGATTCTAAGTTGTCTTCGCAATCGAAATGTTGATTTATAAACAGACAACGTTGACCTGCTATTGGAATAACAAGGGCTTTTGTTTAATACTTTGGCACTGAATCAAAGGATGAATGCTTGCATGATTGTGTATGTGTTGATTTGACTCACAGAGATAACTTTGAAGCTAGGCGCAAATTACTAAGGCAAAATCAACTGTAAACAGTGCCTATAAATGATGTATTCACTTTGAAGATCACTAATTGTTGAATATGGGAATGCACAAATTTGATTCAAATTAGGAC